CCCCTTGCAATTTTACCAAATGACGTCCCTGGACATAGAGGAGAAATCCCTCACTCTCTAAGTGATCCTCAGTGCTTTACATGGACTGTTCCAAGGGGACACAAATCCTGCATTTGAGGATCCTCAGCATGGGTTAATCGCTCTTAACTTATTATCATCTGACTAGCATATTGGGATCTGGACGAAAGACCAACTCTGTCCCGCTTCATTAGTGGTCTGCTGTGTGACTGTGTCATCAGGAAGCATTGATGCAGCCAAGGGATGACAGAATGACATTTGCATCATTGCAAGGAAGAAGACGATGAAACTAGAGCAGTTCAGGATTTCTATTTCCCTTTTGATCCTGCCACCATGTGCAAGTCCAGCCAGGCGGGAAACAGGAAGACTACCTTCAAGTTCCCCTCCTCCTCCGAAAACTGAAAAACCTTGAGCACAAAATAGAAAGACATCCTGATCCATCAATAATTATGTTTATTAGTAGGGAGGTGAACACTGACTAGAATGTGTGCAGTCACAACCGACTGAGCCAAACCGGGAACGGAACAGGAGGCAAATTTCAATGCAACTGAACCCAACCTATCTAAACTAATTGTGCATCTCTTAACCAGTTTCAGATTTTGCTTTTGATCGCTACCTGGCAAATGCTGAGACTCCGAAAAATATATTTTGAAAAGAAAATAGAAACATTTCTCAAACAACCTGAGAGCACTGTGCACACATGAGAGCAAGAATATTCCTTCAAAGAGATTGTGGAAGAAGAAAATAACCCTGACAGCTGACACAGGGTAGAAATATTTGGGGCAAATTCACATCAGTTGGTGCTCTGGGACAACACCGTGTAACAAGAATGGGAAAGCGAGAAAAATCTTCACATCAAGGTGGCAATGAAAACAGTGTGAACACCACATCAAAAGTCCCCATACACTTAAAGCACTTCCACCAGACATAGAGGGACAACAGATCCAGTTTGCATAACTGGGATCACCCACTTTGGCAACAGAATTTCTTGCAGAACAAGATAGAATTTATATGGAAAAAACTTCACAGTCACATTCCCATTGATGGTCAAGTCAGCTCATTTTCTGTAACAATTCAATAATTGGCATGAGTGACAGCCATGCACTACACCTTCAACAGTCATAAATACTTCAAAAAGCACTTCAGAAAAGATATCTGCAAAGCAGTGCTTCAACGGTCAGAGTTAATATATTTAATGACAAAATGAAATTAATTTTAGGAAGTACCCAAACCTCTTCTCTGCGGTGGATTAGCTTCAATCAAATTCATCATGAGCAGGAATGGTAATTTGCAAATCACATGAATCAAAATAATCTTTCTTTTGACGTTTGAGCATATATGTGTCTGAGATCTATGGGAAATCTGAGTGGCTACCTGACATTACAGTCAATTCCATTCTGTACCCTGAAGAAACTGCAGTCACTTAGAAACTCAAGACAAAGCAAGATGAATGCTACATCGACCAGCAAAATGATATGCCATCAAGAGGAGTATAGGAGGTTCAGTTGATGGGTTCATTGAGGAGCATTTCATCTTCAGGGAGGGAAAGACGTTTGAAGACAGGGTTGCCCACAAGGAAGATGACTAGCCCAGCAAACAGGGCCACCAGGATCCCCATCACATTCACCACAACCGCCTCCCGTGGAAGAAACTGGTATGGTGTATCAGTCTTATCGTTCCTGAATCATAATGAAGATAAATCCAGTTGAATTAATTGAAGTGATTAATTACTATGTCAAAACGAGAATTTAAATACATACTCTTGACATCAATTCATACTTGTAATTAAATTCCTATTTTTGACACGATTTTCATTTCAAAGGTGGGAAATTACAAATGTCTCTCGTTGAATACATTGAGTATGACAATCCATCATTCAGAGAATTTTCAGACTGAAGTTTGATGCACAACCACCATAAATCGCATCAATGCAATGTCTGGTCCCTCAACTTGTATTCCTGAAAGGAAATACTTCTCCCAAAGTTTTGATTTTGCATAAAGCTTTGATAATAGTGGAAGTGGGAACATGCAGAACAAAAGCAGAAGGATGCAAACCAATTGCAAAACAATTAATTACAAAATTGATCATTCATAAATTATTAAATGTTTTAAAATTGCATTTAACTAATGAATGATGAACAATGATTTCATTGGACATGCCAAATCCATTACTGAACTAAGTCATTCAAACATTTAATGACCAAAGATATGGAAGTGGCACTGTCATAAATCAGAAACAAAAATATTCACATCCATAAAACTTGGAAAGGAAGCGAACTTGTACAAATCACAACAGACTGGGCTCAATAACAAATGGGAGTGATTAAAACATGCACCTGGCTCTCTTTACATCTATTGAGTGCACTCTGTCGATAGAGGAAGACTTACAAGGTAAAGATTGCCTTCTCAAGTAGACCCATGAGAACCGTGCAGGAAGCGAGTATGAACACGACCATCCCGAAGAAGGTGTGGACCGGGAGGTACCAGGCCCGCAATGCATGACGTACTCCAGGGAAGAGGAAGGACAGCAGGCCGCACAACCACTGAAAGACCAATGAGTGGGTGAATCTTTCTGACCCTTCCCCCCCAGAGTAAGGGCCTCGAAATCGCCTCACCTGACAGGCAAACAGGACCATGGTGCAGATGCCGAGCCAGCTGTGCAGAGAATACATGTTGGGAGTGCCAGCTGTGTTGTGGACGTTGAAAACGGCCGAGAGTCCTATCACTGCCATCACGAAGATCACCAGGAACAGCCCTGCATGCACCAGCTTCAGCTTCTTCTTCCTCTCGTGTCGGAACGTCCGATACACCAGCATGACTGAAGCGTGCAAAGAATCCGATTACATCCACAAAGAAACTGCATTCGATCAGAAGCGACCCTCAGTTCCTCACCATTCGCATACAGGAAGATCATGGACAAGATCATGAGTAAGGGATGCCAATTGAACATGACCTTGTAGTCGCTGCTCCATGCAAACCCTCCCCGATAATACTGCAGCCATACTATGGTGAGGATGATGATGACGAACCCAACGCACTCGGCGAGCGTCAACCCACTCATGAACCTCTTCAGCTCGGACTCGGACTGATCCATTCTGCTTGGATGTCGTCTCAAAGTGGTCGGGTACGATTTCCTATTCACACTACTATCCGAGTCCTCGCTTCCTTCTTGACCATTGAACCTAAAGAAAATGAAAATAAAAATCAAGACAAAAACCCATGCATTGAAAAGATTCGTAGACCTCCCCGGCCCACAGCCTAATGTTAGGCGCAGCCGCGCTTCAATGTAGGGCTGAGTCGAGCGAAGCACATGACCCATGCGCGCCGCCATCTTGCGCCGATTGGCAGCGCCCTGTTGCCATATGAAAGTGGACCCAAAACAATGCCTCGGCATATGTTTAACCAATTCGTTAAGAAAATGGTTATTTTTATGCTCTCGTATTGCAAATGCACTGTATAAAGTTAGTAATTAATTTACTGGTTCCCCGGCTGCTACAGATCCTAGTAATTACAAGCATAACCATATGGAATACTCCTTACTCATTCGGGATACCAGTACCATGGATTACTTTTCTCCACTCGAAAGTATGGGGAAAGCAGGGCGGGATAATAATAATAATAATCATGATAAAAAATATACTGAATCTATTGTGTGTCGGTACGTATTCTCATTCCCATGGCAAACATCGAGGACCCCTTCTCCCTCCTCCCCCCTCCCCTCCCCCTCCCCCTCTCTCCACCCACACGTCACGAGATCAGATAACCGGGACGAAAGGTGAATCGAATAAGAGCCTAGTCCCAATCGAGCCGATGAGGACCGACGAAACACTGCTAAACCCGACGGACACTCCACGACCGTCCTCCACCATATGGCACCTCACCGGACCGGCACGCCTCCACCCCCCCGGCCCCACCGACCACCGAACGGCGCCACGTCGACACGCGAACACGACAACGCGGCATCCCGGGATGCCAGACGCGAACGAAAACCCCTTTCCCGCAGCGAGCGAGCGAGTGTGTCTGGCGAGGTGAACGCGACGAGAGGAGAAAAGCTCCTCTGCGATCGATCCGATCCCCCCCCTGCCCCCCCCCGCTCCCCGTATTCTCATGATTCCCTTTCCCTCCCCCGCACCCTGCGCTTTCTCTCCCG